TTTTCTATAAACTATTCTATAGTACAGGCCCTATTTTTATCTTTAAATTAACATAGGGATAAATTTCTCTAAGGAATAGGGAAATGGAATGTTTCTATTGTTACAGCTATTATTATTTTATATGTCTGGGTTTTCAGACTACACTTTCAAGAACTTTTTTCATTTGGCAAAAGTAGTGTTAGGCTGTGCACTGCCCCTAGGAATTGAGCAGGTGGTGGACGTGGCTACTAACACAGAAAGATAAGCATGCATTTCTCGTCTGTTTTCCATCTAATTTTAAAAGAGGAAAGCACCAACATTAAATGCAAGTGTTTGAGATTGAAGAATATTAAAACAAGATTTTTTTTTTAATCTGGGTAGAATTTCAGTTTTCTTACTATGCATTAACGTTATTAGTCACAACTTTATTTGACCTTAACCTTACCACTAGTTGATTTTTAAAGTTCCTTTCTGATTTATTCTAAATTTTTACTTTCGATTCAGCCCCTCTTAGGTCTGGCATATGGCTCGGAGGTTGGGACAATAAATACCTAAGTTTTTCTCTCCACTGCCAACTAGAGTGTGTGCTCCCCCTCCCCCGGGGATTGTCTTGCTTTACCAGTAGGTTTGTTTATTTGAAAACATTTTTCTTATTAATCATGCTAGCTTCTCCAAACACTTTGCACGAGGAAGAGCGTGCTAAGGGTGGAAACTGAATACACCATCCCTTCCCCTCTTCTTTCAGCAAAAATTAAAGCTGGAAAAGGAAATCAGACGATGTTATGCCGCTGTGGCTCCATATAGAGTACAAAAGCCCAGCACCGGTCTGTTGCTAGGTACCCACTTTCTTTTCAGTGTCTTTCTTGAAGACCAATGGCCTTTGGCTATAAATGAAATCCCACATCCCACTCAAGCCTGTGGGCAGCGGGTGGCTTTTCCCACTTCTCTTTACTCTTAGTCCTTATATTGTCTAGATCCTGAGTTAAGTTTCTCTTATCCCACGCTTGACCAAAATAAAGAATTGTAACATGTTCATTCCTCAATATAGACCGTCCAGTGCAATCTCAAACATAAACCCAGTGTAACAATGAAAGGGGATTTCAGGATACAAACTAAGTAAACAAACAAACAAAAAAAAAACAACATGGTTTATTTTAGTCACTGGTCAGCAAAGAGAGCCTAAAAATATTTATCCCTAACGGCATTCTAAGATATCATTCTGCTTTCTCATCTAAGACCCTGATGCTTGGATTTATGGGTTTTGTGCTAGTCCATCATTTTTTCTTTCTCCACAATAGTTCTGTCCTTTTGGCCCTAGAAAAAGGAAAGTTCCTTTTTGAATGGACGTCAGGTCCAGTCCCTTTTGGTCTTAGCTATGTCTATAGCTTTCTTCCTTGCTGAATTGGGGCAGACTCTACACTTCTGTCTTTGACCTTAAATGTAGTTTTATTTATTTGAGTTTTCATTGTTTCTCTTGTCTTCCCCACTGTGGGAGAACTCCTTAGTGGTTTCCCTGGCCTCTCCTCTCTCTGATCTTGTTTCTGGTTCTTCTCTAATCCTTTGTAGGCAGCTGCCCATCGTTGTTCTCTTTCATATTCTGATCACCCAGAAAATCTTGAGGCTAGCTGGATTTCATTTCTCCCCAACAATATAATCTGTGTCATATATTTGCTTTTTTTTTTTTTCCATTATGATCTTATCCTAGATAGCTTTGCAGTTACTTTGTACATTTAAAATGTTCAAGGCTGGGCTAAGCACAGTGGCGCAGGGCACCTGTAATTCTAGCAGTCTGGGAGGCCAAGGTGGGTGGATTATCTGAGCTCACCAGTTCAAGACCAGCCAAAGCCAAAGCAACACCTCATCTCTCAAAAAAATAGCTGGGCGTTGTGGCCAGCACCAGTAGTCCCAGCTACTTGGGAAGCTGAAGCAAGAGAATCTCTTAAGCCCAAGGGTTTGAGTTTGCTGTGAGCTGTAACACCACGGCATTTTATCTAGGGCAACAAAATGAGACTCTGTCTCTAAAAAAAAGAAAAAAAATGTTCAAGGCCCTTAATATACATTTTAACCCATGAGCCCCTAAGAACAAGTTACCCTTTGGAAGGAGAACTGTCTCATGCTCCCATGTCTTGGTGTAATGCCTAGTGGATAATCCATGCTTAAGTTGCTGAATGGTTCTTGGGTTTACTCCAAGAATATGCATAACAAAAAACTAAGATGATTAATCCCTTCATATCTCTCTTAATTTTATTTAATTGGAAGATAGGGACAGTACAGTAGTTCATGCCTATAATCCTACCACTTTGGGATGCCAAGGTGATGAGAGGATCACTTGAGGCCAGGAGTTAAGACCAGCCAGATCAGCGAGGCCCGCTCTCTACAAAAAACAGAAAAATAGCCAAGCATGGTATTATACACCAATAATCCCAGCTACTCCTAAAGCTGTAATTGGGAAGATAGCTTGAGCCCTGGACCCAGGAATTAAAGGTTGCAGTGATCTATGATGAGCTTCTGTTTCATCCAAAAAAAACATAGATACTCGGGCTTATTGAAGTTACCTTTTGCCACTAATTACCTAAATTTTATCTTTTTTCTTAATAACAAATATCTACTGTTAAAAATATTAAAAATATAGAGAGTAAGCCTAACTACCTGGAATTTTTGCAGTAATTTAGTTTGTAGGGTGGTGCCTGTGGCTCAGTGAGTAGGGCGCAGGCCCCATATACTGAGGGTGGTGGGTATATACTAAGGGTGGTGGGTTCAAACCTGGCCCCAGCCAAACTGCAACAAAAAAATAGCCAGGTGCTATGGCGGACACCTGTAGTCCCAGCTACTCAGGAGGCTGAGGCAAGAGAATTGCCTAAGTCCAGGAGTTGGAGGTTGCTGTGAGCTGTGTGACACCATAGCACTTTACCAAGGGCAACAGAGTGAGACTGTCTCTAAAAAAAAAAAAAATAATAATTTAGTTTGTAGGTTTTTAAGATATCGTGTTTCCGCGAAAATAAGACCTACCTAAAAAATAAGCCCTGGGAGGATTTCTATGCATTTGTTAATATAAGCCCTACCCCAATAATAAGACCTAGTGATGGTCATATCTGCATAGCCATGCCATGCATTTTGGCACAGAGAGGAACACATCCCCTGAAAATAAGCCCTAGTGTGTCTTTTTGAGAAAAAATAGATATAAGGCAATGTCTTATTTTCGGGGAAACGGTACATTTCATTGTTTTTGAATCTAGCTCTCAGATTATAGTTATTCCAGCTGATGCACAGGGGATTGTTCTCTGGCAGTTTCCACCCAGCCTACTTAAAGCTTTCTTTACCAGGTTGGCCACTGCAGGTTTATGTATTTCTTCCAAATTCCTGATGCTTTCTAAAAATGAATTGTTCCCCCCCCAAATTTAAAAACTTAATTAACTGAAATAAGTGAATAGAAGTAGCACATTTTTAATGAAAAGGTAAATTTTACAAATGAACAGTCCCAGGATGGTAACAGCAGGGGAGAATGTCTGCATTCTCTTAGTGCTGCTGCTTTTCTAAGTTGCTGTGCGTGGAAGCACAAAACTACAGCACGAATGGGACACGTGGGCTAGAGTGACATTTTTTATTTTTCAGTGAGAAGTGTTCTATTTGTTATTTTTATGTTAAAGATGTATTAAAAAATAAATGAAAGCATATTAGATGGGTGAATTTAGAGGCTGCATGAAGTTTAAAGACAAAATAGGAATTTCAAAAAAAATGATTTGCTTGCATCTGAGTGCTGAGTATATATTTACCCATTTTCTCTTGTCCTGCCTCTGAGTGCTGAGTATATTTACCCATTTTCTCTTGTTCTGGGGTTGGGGGGGTGGGTTTTGAAATAGAGTCTCTGTTTGTTGCCCTCAGTAGAGTGCTATGGCGTCATAGCTCACAGCGACATCAAACTTTTAGGCTCATTTGATTCTCTTGCCTCAGCCTCCCAAGTAGCTGGGACTATAGGCGCCTGCCACAATACCCACCTATTTTTAGAGATGGGTCTTGCTCTAGCTCAGGCTGGTCTCAAACTTGTGAGCTCAGGCAATCTATCTATCTCAGTCTCCCAGGGTTCTAGGATTACAAGGTATAAGCCATAGAGCTCAGCCTATTTTTTGTTTTTTTGAGACAGAGTCTTGCTCTGTTACTTAGACAAGAATACTGTGGTATCAGCCTCACTCACAGAAGCTGCAAACTCCTGGGCTCAGATGATCCTCTGACCTCAACCTGTTGAGTAGTTGGGACTTAATAACAAATATCTACTGTTAAAATATTAAACAGCTTGCCACCACACCTGGCTAAATTTTTCTTATTTAATTATTTTTTTTAAGAGATAGGTTCTCACTCTTGCACAGACTGATCTCAGATTCCTAGGCTGAAGTGATCCTCCTCCTACCTCAGTCTCCTGAGTCACTGGGATTTTAGCCATGAGCAACTGTACTGGGCTGTGACTTTATTCATTTTATAGGAGAAAACACAAGTTCAAGGAGGTCACACAGGGTCAGGATAAGAAGAGAAACTCCTATTGCTGCCTGTGTTCTTTTCCTTTTACCAAGGCTTCTCAAACTTTTCCCTCTTGAGAGAACATGTTGTGTGATCTGCCTGCCCCCAGAAACCCCATGCTTTTTGAAAGATGTTACCTACCAAACTACATCTATTAAATAAGCTATTTTACTGTATTTTAGTTAATCAAAAACAAAGAAAGTATAAGTTAAAGTTTCTGATCAACACAAGCTAACCAGCTAGCCATACTGAATTGATATAATTTTGGTTAAAAAGCCTTTATGGGGGAAATGGACATGCTAAATAAAGTTTTAGGAAATGATGAAAATGATTGACAGTTCAGCATGAGAGCCTTGAAGTTATGAGGGGCCTTGGGAGCAACCAGGACCCCATGTTCTGAACCACTGTTCAGAGACCTGTTGCCTGAAAACTTAAAGTCTAAAAAGAGAATGCCTGTGTTCCAGCGTGAGCGGGTTGAGCTGATGCCTTCCTCTTGCCTTTGCATACAGATTGAATATGAAAGGAAAAAGAAAGAAGATGGAAAGCGAGCCCGAGCTGATAAACAACACGTTTTGGACATGCTGTTTTCAGCCTTTGAGAAACATCAGTACTATAACCTTAAGGACTTAGTGGACATCACAAAACAACCTGTGGTATGTATATGTTCATACTGATCCTTTGCATACGTCCTGCTTCATTAACATGTCATTACTGAAGAAAAGTGTGTGGTAATTAATATGATTAAGTTTCCGTTTACGTATACTAATGACAAATTCCATGTTAACACTCAGAAAAGATGTCTTGAAGCAGCCATTTGGGGGTTCTTCTAGGTAATTCAGTTTCTTTATATTAGATTTCAACAAGCATAGTATCAACAATTCCACATGAAGAAAAAGAATTATCCTCCTTCATTTCTAGAATCTGCCTCTCACTAGATCCATTTAAGCTTGAGCTAACCTGCCCTTTCAAATTATGCTTGGATTGGTGTAATTTCTGTTTTTAAGGAAAAATTTAATAAATTGATATTTTAGAAAGTTTATCTTTGTTCTATAAATAGTCATTTTTTTTCTTCTTTAGACTTTTGTGCCTATTTACTAATAATTTCTATTACTTATCTCCATTCATTTAAAATGCTTGTATCAGTAAGGGATCCAAATCCTTTCTCCAGTCTTTGAGTCACATTTTTTTCCATTCAGCTGTCTTATACCAAATGTCATCAAAATATCAGACTGAATTATAATAGTATTTACTTAGAGTTTAAAAAGTTAGATGAAAACCTTTTCTCTCATTTCCCTTACCATGTTGTTTACTCTGCCAGTATACTGATGGCATGTTGATTATTGCTATTCCATTTATTTGATTCAGAATATGTAACAAGATTTAAAAAAAAAATTTAACATAAGCAAATAACCTATTCATTAAAGGTCCTGGTATGTTTTTCCTGACTTATACAAAGCTTTAGGAAAGGATTTATGAAACTTTAGTGTTCACTGTACAGTTTCTTCTACAAAGATTTATTTACCAGTTTTATACATCAACCTTTTACTTTTCATTAAGAAATTAAATTCTAAAAGATCTAAATACATGTTTTACTAGAGAAGAAGAAAGTGCTTAGGCTGTAGCGTTACCAACTCATCTTAATGACTTCACTCCTTTTGGCATCAAAGCCTTAGAAACACCATTCTGAGCGCAATAAAAAATTTGAAATAGAATAATTCATTAGCTAAGCTATGTTTCTTCGGTTTTAATGAACTTTGTCTTTGTATTTATACATATAAATATATCTATATGAAAAGGCCATTAACTCTGAGAGCAGAGTTAATGAACTTTATTTTTGTATTTATACATTTAAATATATCTATATAAAAAGGCCATTCTAGAAACTCGGAGAGTAGACAAGACATCCTAATGGAATAAAATACACACAAAAAATTACATATGGAAACACAAGCACTTATAGAAGGGCAGTCCTATGACACTAAAGAAAGCAATTTCTTTGTCTTCGTATGGGATATAGATTTATTTGTTTTGCACCAACAAAAAGGGATTACTAGTATATCTCTCTATTTTGGCTCTTTAGATAATTAAGTGGTTGTACAGTAGAGCTTCTTAACTCATGATCAGTGGGTAGACTTTCAGGGATCCATTAACTTCCTGAATATGTGCAAAAACATAAGGTTTTTTCTGAGAAATAGACCCATGGTTTGTATCATACTCTTATAGACAACCACTGATCTAGAAACTAAAATGCTTTTACTGTGTAGATATTAAATTGCCTCAGCAATCATAAGATTCTTGAAGACAGTTGTATGTTATCCCTATCCCTAAATATCCATCTATCCCACAACATACCTATAGTAGAAATTCAGTAAGTTATTTAATGAATTGGTTTAAAAAAAGAAGAATTCTCCAATTACCAACATATTTTGACAGGCCTCATGTCATTTCTGGTGGGAGTGGGAACAAAAGGCCAGTGTCAAGAGAGTGTGGAAACCTGTGCTGGGCTGGAGGTTGGCCCAAGGTACGGTTACTACCCTCACCTAGAAGAAAGGGTGAAGAAGTGTCAGCATAGATGCCAATCCTGTGTTTACCTCAGTGGATCTGAGGAAGTGACTTCCATTCCTCATGTTAAGGGAGTTGGAGTAGATAATCTTATGATCCTTTCTAGCTGTAAATCTGTGGTCCCTTTCCCTCTCCTATTTCATCCCTCTCCATCTCTCTCTCACATTTGAACTGATGGGCAAAGTCCATTGACCTAGAAAGAAAATTGCCAAAGCCCAGCTCTTTTCCCAGTAAGTAACTATCCCCTTTAAAAGGTTCCCAGGATGCAGTGAGTCTGTCTGTACTAATGGTCATCAGTACACCCCTACTTGATTTCATTTTAGTTTGAGCAATGCCCAAGAGAACTGAAGAATCTATTCCATTTCTGTTGTCCACACTGATGTTCTAGGAAAGGGAGCTTCCTGGTACAGTGGGAAGAACACTGGATTATTTATTTATTTATTTATTTAGAGACAGAGCCTCAAGCTGTCCCCCCGGGTTTGCCGTGGCATCATAGCTCACAAGAACCTCCAACTCCTGGGCTCAAGCGAGTCTACTCTCTCAGCTTCCCAAGTAGCTGGGACCACAGGCGCCTACCACAATGCCCAGCTATTTTTTGGTTGCAGCCGTCATTGTTGTTTGGCGGGCCGGGCTGGATTTGAACCCGCCATCTTAGGTGTGTGTGGCTGGCGCCTTAGCCACTTGAGCCACAGGTGCCGAGCCAGAACACTAAATTTGTAGTAATGGAATCTCAATTCTAGACAAGGTACTTAAGTACATTTAATAGATTATTTAATACTTAACATACTTAACATATGCATACTTACTATACAGTTTACCAGTATGTTCAAAATATTGTAATATTATAATATGTAAATGTGTTTAAAATCATACCTAGTTTACTGAATCCTTGGGATAATTAAATAATGTTTGTGAAAGATGCTTTCTATTATTAGTATACAGATTTATTATTACTATACAGATTTTCTTTTTGGGGGGGAGAATGAGACAGAGTCTCACTTTCTTGCCCCTGTAGAGTTCTATGGCATCATAGCTCACAGCAACCTCAAACTCTTGGGCCGAGTGATCCTCTTGCATGAGTCTCCCAAGTAGATGGGACTACAGGCACCCTCCATTACACCCAGCTGTTATTAGAGACAGGGTCTCACTCTTGCTCAAGCTGGTCTCAATGAACTCATGAGCTCAGGTGATCCACCCACCTTGGCCTCCCAGAGTGCTGGGATTATAGGCATGAGCCACAGCGCCCAATCTTACTAAACAGATTTTTAAGCCCTGTGTAAAAGAGATCTTACTCATGTCAATAAGTTCTTCACTATATTCATTTAATGGCATTCTTACATTGTAGCGTTTCATTTTCCAATGACTCCCAATGCCACTTTTAACAAGTTTCTAACCATGAAGTGTATGACTTCAGCACATCTGCTGCCATCTGCTTTCTGACCTTTATAATATCATATTTGACATATTTTTGAGCGTTAAGTATTTTCTTGTTTTTTCAGTTCCTTCTTTTCTATTCTTCATTCTAAAAACTTTATTTCTTCAAGCAAACGTATTGATTAGAGGAACTGTTATTATGGCCCGTCTTTTTTCTGATTTGCTACCATGTGACTTCCATAAATAATCAGAAAGAGTGAAAGTTACTCATCAAGGGCAAATACACCAATTTGAAAAGGCCAAGCTTTGGTAACTGGTATAAAGCCTGGAACGTGGTATCCATTTTAAAGGGTGTTTGTTGTCTTAGTTCGGTTTCTTTTGCTTATAACAGAATACCCAAAACTGGGTAATTTATAAAAATGAATTTACTTCTTATAGTTATGGAGACTGAGAAATATAAAGTTAAAAGGGAGCCACATCTGGTGACATTCTTACTGGTAGAGACTCAGTGTGGAGAGTGGTGGCACAGGGTATGCATGCTCAGTCCTCTCGTCTATTTTTATAAAGCCACCACTCTCACTCCCATAACCCATTAATCTATTACCTGTTAATCCACAAATGGAGTAATCCATTCATGAGACCCAGTCACCTCTTAAAGCCTCACTTCTCAGTACTACAACCTTGGGGATTAAGTTTCAATATGAGTTTTAGAGGGTGCAAATATTCAGACCATAGCAGATTTGGGTTTTTTTTTTCCATTAGAACCAGGTTCTCACTATGTTGCCCAAGCTGGAGTCCAGTGGTGCAATCATAGCTTACTGCAGCCTTGAACTCCTGGGTTCAAGTGATCCTCCCAAATCAGCCTCTTATTTTTTTTTCCCAAGACAGAGTCTTACTTTGTTGTCCTCGGTAGAGTGCTATAGCATCATAGCTCATAGCAACCTTAAACTCTTGGGTTCAGGCGATTCCCTTGCCTCGGTCTCCCAGGTAGCTGGTACTTGCCACAGTGCCCAGCTATTTTTAGAGACGAGGTCTCACTCTTGGCTCAGGCCTGGACCACCATGTCCAGCTTTTTTTTTGGTAGACACAGTGTCTCATTGTGTGGGCACCAGGTGGTCTCAAACTCTTGGCCTCCCAAAGTTCTGAGACTACAGATGTCTCCCATCACTCCAGCCCATAGCTGATATTTATATGTGGTTTAACTTTTGGCTTTCTTCCCCCTTCAAAAGTGGAAGATAAGCCAAGTGTGGTGGCTCACGCCTGTAATCCTAGCACTCGGGGGGGCCAAGGCAGGTAGATTGCTTGAGCTTACGAGTTCAAGACCAGCCTGAACAAGAGTGAGACCCCATCTCTACTATAAATAGAAAAACTGGGACAG